AAAGTAGCTGCGAAGACATCAGAGGAACACCAGGGGGCGACGTGTACCAGCGCGGCCTCCTGTCGGTTAGGTGCCCCTCTCCAGGAGCTCCTGGCACAAAGCCTTGTGCTGTCGGTTGTGAGGAATGCGCTACAAACAGCAGTTAAGTTCAAGGTCAGTAGCACTCGACAGTCTGAGCAAGAAAATGAGTTTCATTTCAATTCAGAAGCCAGCCTGTACACATACAACTCTGCGGGAGGGAGGGAGGGAGGGAGCTGAGTGGGTTGTGGTGTAGTACCATAATTCCAGTACCTGGGATTTAAGAGTAAGAAGATCAGGAATTCAAGGTCATTCTTGATTGTATATGGAATTCCAGGCCAGCCTTGGCTACAGGCTGAGGGGGGCGGGGCGGGGTGGGGAGCACACTCTTCTGGCCTTCCCAGGCACTGCTCGCACGTGGTACACGCACATACATGCAGGCAAAATCCACAAATACATGAAATAAAAATAGACAAATAACTCCAGCTCTAGGGAGGATTCTACACTCACTCTGGCCTCTGAATACATGCAGAGATACATAAATAAATAATAAAACAAGTTAAGAGAGTTCTTGATGGGCCGTGGTAGTGCAAGCCTTTAACCCCAACACTCAGGAGACAGAGGTAGTCAGAGCTGTTACACGGGGAAACCCTGTCTTCAAACTGAAAACCAAAAAAGAAAACAAAAAGTGAGAATTCTTTTTTACTAAGACAGGGTTTCTCTGTGTAACCCTTGAAAGGTTCAGGCATTATGCTGGCCTGCCCTGGTGAAACAGGCAGTACCCTGGTCAGCCCACGTTTCTTTGGGAACTAAGTCTGCACGCAGGTGCAGAGGACCCCTTTAAAAGACAGACCCTGCCCATTTACACACACACACACACTCTCTCTCTCTCTCTCTCTCTCTCTCTCTCTCTCTCCTCTCTCCTCTGCTTCTGCTCTTCTCTCTGTCTCTTTATGCTCGCTCTGCCTCTCTCTGCAGACCGGCCATGGCGGTCAGCCATTAACCCTGTTTCTCTTCTCCTTTAGTCTCCCTACTCTGCCGGGCCTATAATAACATGTCTAATATGTCTAATAGTCTTGTGTCTCTTCCTCACCTTTTTCTTTTATTTCTAATTTAAGCAAAAATTAACAACCCTGGCACCTGGCTGTCCTAGAACTAACTTTGTAGACCAGGCTGGCCTCGAACTCATGGAGATCTGTTTGCCTCTACCTACTGTGCTGGGATTAAAGGTATGCACCACCATTGCCCTGCAAAGAGAGAAAGTTCGTTGTTTTTCTTTTTTAGAGTTTCTTTTTTCTTTTTTTTTTCCCCTCAAGATTTATTTTATGTGCATTAGTGTTTTGCCTACATGTATGTCTGTGTGGGGGTGTCAGAAGCCCTGAAACTGGAGTTACAGACAGTTGTGAGCTGCCATTTGGATGCTGGGAATTGAACCTGGGTCCTCTAGAAGGGCATCCAGTACTCTTAACCACTGGGCCATCTCTCCAGCCCGAGAGAGAGAGAGAGAGAGAGAGAGAGAGAGAGAGAGAGAGAGAGAGAGTGAGTTCTTATTAGCCCCAACACTGCACTACATATCATTTACAATGAATGTAAACAATAATAGCTGGATTTAGTGGTGGTGGACACTTTTAATCCCAGCACTTGGGAGGCAAAGGATATCGTGAGTTCGAGTCTAGCCTAGTCTACACAGTGAGTTCCAGGACAGCCAGGGCTATGTAGAAAGATCCTATCTCAAACAAAACAACACACACACACACACACACACACACACACACACACACACACACACTAATAATAAAAAACACTATGTTCACATGGTTCAAAATTTAAAAGTAAGTGAGGTGCTGGGTATGTGGCCCAGTGCTGGAATGCTTGCCTGGAATGTACTAGGTATTCCCAGGCTTCATCTCCTGAACCCTTCCCTGAAGGCAACCAAAGTCATAGATTTAATGCTTACAGGAGGATAGTCAAGAAGCACTCACCTGTCCTGCAAATGGTAGGAAAGTGTTCTTAGCGCTCTCACCTTTTCTAATGCTATCCCTTGACCTCAGTCTACATGGGGGCATGAAGAGCCAGTGTGCCTGTGTAGAAATGCACCATGTTTATCAACTAGCTGCCTATCAATGACCATTTACATTGTCACCCAGTACTTACAGTGACAGGGGTGTGTGCTCTTAACACGAAGGGTCTAATCTATACACACATTTGCACACAAGAGCCTGTCAGAAAGGCTACACCAATTCTAGCCTTAGCTTCCCTGACTTATTGGCTAGCTCTGTCTTTTTTTTTTTAATTTTATTTATTTCTTATGTATACAACATTCTGCTTCCATGTATGCCTGCACACCAGAAGAGGGCACCAGATCTCAATACGGATGTTTGTGAGCCACCATGTGGTTGCTGGGAATTGAACTCAGGACCTCTGGAAGAGCAGCCAGTGCTCTTAACCTCTAAGCCATCTCTCCAGCCCAAGCTCTGTCTTTTATTAACCCATTTCTATTTTTTTAAAGAATTTATTTATTATGTATACAACATTCTGCTTCCATATATAACTGCACACCAGAAGAGGGCACCAGATCTCATAACGGATGGTTGTGAGCCACCATGTGGTTGCTGGGAATTGAACTCAGGACCTCTGGAAGAGCAGCCGGTGCTCTTAACCTCTGAGCCATCTCTCCAGCCCAACCCACTTCTATTTATCTGTGTATTTCCACATGGTCTTGGCTTTCCAGAGAATGCCTGGTGTGTCTTACCCTCCCAGTCTCTGCATGGCTTCCCCTTTTGGTCTCCCTCTGCCTACCTTTCCCAGAATTCTCCTCGTCTCCTCGTCCCACCTATCTTCCTGCATCTATTGGCCAAACAGTATTTTATTCATCAACCAATAAGGTGAACATATGTACAGAAGGACCTCCCCCCGTCAGGGTTGAGGATGGGGACTGGCTAGTGTGGCAACTGGGAAGGAAATGGAAGTGACATTCTGGATTAGGGGTCCTGGTGAGGTCGGCTGGTCAGAGAGCCCCGGGGATGAACATGCTGTATCTTCCCCACACTGGTATTTCATCTTCAAGCCGGCTTTTCATGTGGGTTCTACAGACTGTACTGGGGCCTGCAGTCTGTTAACTGACCTTCTCCCCAGCTTTCTTCCCCCCCACTTTGGTGACAAGTTCTCATATGTAGCCGTGGCTAAACAGAAACTCACCATGTAAACCAGGCTGTCCTCAGACCGAGACCTGCCTATGCTTCTCTATAGCACTGAGATTGACGGTGTGCCCAGCTACACCCAGCTAGTGGCACAAGGCTTTGTAGGCTACAGAGAAACTCAGTTTTACCAAGCTACACAGCGGCCATGGGAGGACTCTGAGCTTGGTGGAACTTGACCTCAGTGCCTGTCCAGCAGCAGTGTGGAAATTAGACTTGGGAAGTAGAATGCGTGTACAAAGGTGGGGTCCAGACACCAGGGAGAAGCTGGTGCTACAACTGAGGTGGTAGGGACATGGTGGTGGGCCAGGACATGGCTGGAGCCAAGATTTGTGTCCCGGGTTGAGTTGTGCTGTTTTGCGGTATAAGGAAAGGAAGGAGTCAAGAATGACTCTGTGGCTTGGCAGAGTATCTGAATCTGCCCTCCAGCATGGAGGCAGCAGAGGTGCCTCTGCTGTAAGGTAAGTTGGTGGAGCAATGGATGGGAGAGCGGGGATGGTTGATATGAAATTCACGCTGGGTAATGCAGTTGAAAACGTGACTGGGAATCAGGAGCCAGGTTTCAGAGTGACATCTTTACATATCACACTGGCTTGTACCAGGGATATTAAATTCTTGTCTGTAAAACATGGAGAATAGGGCCTCGCCCCACTCATGTCCAGCAGGGATAGTGGTCCATCTACTGTGTGTGTGTTCTTGCTAGGTTAGCCACACTGGCCTTGAACTTACAGTCTTTCCGCCTCTACTTCTCCAGTTAACATGGAGAAGTTTCCATGAATGTGCTACTATGCCTATTTCTTAGGGTCCTGCCAAAGAGCCCTCTTTGGCTTCTCATTCCTCTCAGGGATGAGTCACTGATATCTTTCCCACCCCAAGGACAGGAAGGAAAGCCAACTGGAGCAATGAACCAATAAAGCTAGAGTGGGGAGGCCTTAGACTCCTGACTTCCAGTCTCTGACCATTAGTTATCTACCTGCGGACACAATAATCTTTTTCTTCTTCCTTCCTTCCTCCTCCTCCTCCTTCTTTTTAAATTGAGACAGAGTCTCTATGTAACCCTGGATATCCTGGACTCTCTGTGTAGACCAGGCTGACCTTGAACTCAGAGTTGGACCTGCCTCTATCTCCTGAGTGCTGGGATTACAGACTTGAGCCTGCATGTTTTAATAATCATTTTCTTAAAGGGTCGTCCTTGGGAACAAATGAGAATAAAGGACTTAAGCACATAGCAGGTCTAAAAACCATTTCTCTCTCAGGTTCCCCATGCTTCAATGATCTAAGAGAAAGGAAGCAAAGACGTTGCTCATCTCAGCTGTTTATTGAAAGGCCAGGCAAGATGGAGGAGGGGAGAGGCAGGGACTGGAAGGTACATCCTGCAGGGCACAAAGGTGGTGGGTGAACTGCCCCCCCCCCCCAAGCTCTAAAGGCCAGCAGGGGCTTCCAGACACAGGATTCTCCCATTGTCCTGGAGTGCCCTCTAGTGTCCCACAAGAGGAAGTCCTTCAGGCTGGACAGTCCATAGGAAGAAAGGGTGGGGCCGCTAGGAGAGCACATTTATTAGTAGGATCAGGATCAGGCCCAATGGGCATTGCAGTTTGGGAGGTGGTCTTTAAGGGGCAAATCATCCCACTTTTCCTAATTCTTGCATTTTATTTCTTTGTGTGTGTTGTGTGTGGGTTGAGGGAGTTAGGGGGGTCAGAGGACAACTGGAGGGAGCTGGGTCTATTGGTGTGTGTGTGTGTGTGTGTGTGTGTGTGTGTGTGTGTGTGTGTGTAGGAATCAGAGGACAACTGAAGGGAGCTGGGTCGATGTGAGTGTGAGTGTGTGTTGTGTGTGTTTGTGTGGGGGCAGAGGTCAGAGGACAACTAAAGGGAGCTGTGTCTCTTTGTATGGTGTGTGTTTGTGTAATCAGAGAACAGCTGGAGGGAGCTGGGCCTCTTTGTGGTGTGTGTGTGTGTGTGTGTGTAGGGAGCCGGGTCTCTTCTTCCACCTTGTAGGTCCCAGAGATGGAACTCAGGTTATCAGTCTCGCCAGGAAAGCCTTTCACTCACTGGGTCATTTCACCAGTCACGAAGGGCAGTTCTTGGTTGAGTCTGCCCCTGTCCTGAGCAGGAGATTGGAGCATGAGACCTACTGGGGGGTGGGTGGGACTCTGGAGAGATTGACACTACAGAGAGGAAGAAGGGTGATGAGAGCGAGGAGTACCAGGAAGGACGTGTCTGACTTCTCTAGCCTTTAGACTTAGGAGTCCCGTTGGGGCTGGCTGGTCTGCACAGAACACTGCCTCACAGGACTGGTGGGAATCAAGAGCCATGACTGACTGCTAAAACCATGGAAGCCAGGGGACAGCTGCTCCGGTTCATCCCGGAAGACCTCCACAGGGCTGTCAGCATCAGTGACCAATGGCTCTGCCTTGATGTCCGGGTTCAGCCAACCGGAGGTGGCCAAAAAGAGGCAGACAGCCAGCAGGATCCCTGCTGCCCCACACAGCGTGGCTCCTGCCACACGGCAGGTGATCAGGGCTTGGTTATAGTCGGCTACTGGATCATCCAAAGATGAGAACTTGCTGTCATTGACAAGCTCTAGTTTGGGGGGTACTGCATAGCCAGTGGTCAGGGCTGCCACACCCAGCAGGAGAAGCAGAGATGCCACGGACACAGTGACCTGAGGAGAGCAAACAGAACAGCAAGGATCCAGGCTCAGCTAGGGTCCAGGATCATAGGATCATGAAACGGACATTGGACATCACAGAACAACCCTGTGGGACCTAACTGGCAGTGATGGTAGCAGAACCCAGGACTTTGAACAGTATAGGGGCAGACACTCTACCACAGAGCCACAGCTTCAGCCCCTTTTTGAATTTTAGTTTGAGACCAGGTTGTGCTAAGTTACCCAGGATAGCCTAGAACTGTCTTATATAGCCCAAGATGGCCTTGAGCCAGCCTTCTAAGTCCTGGAATTGCAGGTGTGTATCATCAAACCCACGGTGGCAATGTTCTCCCTCAATGGCAAAGCCAACCTTGAGTCATTTTGTGGGTCCCATTTATTATTATTATTTGAGTGTGTGTGTGTGTATGTATGTATGTGTGTATGTGTGTGTGTATGTATATGAGTGTGTGTGTGCCTGTGTGATGTAGGGCTGCAATGGCACATGTCAGAGGCCATCCTTTGGTGTTTCTTAGGAGCTGCTTATTTTCTGAAATAGGGACTCTCCCCTGGACCTGATTAATTAGGCTAGGTTCGTTGGCCAGCAAGCCCCAAAGATCCTCCTTTCTCTGTCTCTCCAGCAATAGGATTAGAATAAATTTTTAGGTATTTATTTATTTTTAAACATGATCTTTCTATGTAGCTCTGGCTGTCCTGGAACTGGCTATATAGCCCAGGCTGGCCTTGAACTCACAGAGTTCCACCTGCCTCTTAATTGCTGGGATTAAAGACCTGCACTACCATACCCAACTCCACCTGGCGTTTTCACATGGGTCCTGGGGATTGCACTCAAGTCCTCATGTTTGCAGGGCAAGCACTTGACTGACTGAGCTATATCCCCAGCTCTATTTGGTACCCCTCTTTGGGCACCATCTTGCACCATGGTCCTTTCCACCCTCCATCTCTTTGCTAGGTTGATGCTCATGTATCCTCAAGTCTCATCTCAAACCATTCCTCCACTGAGATGCCTTCCAGGACCCTTCCAGCTTGGGCCGGTGTTTTTCTCTTTACATAGCCCAGTGCCGATTAGTCCTTCAGTGAACCCACATTTGGACATGGAATTTGGTTCTTAGGTGATTGTCTGCCCGTTTTACTGAACTGAGCCTTCTGAAAACAAAAGTTGGACATGTTTTGGCTCACTAGGTGTTTTGTGCTCAATGTAGCACTAAGTACTAGTTGAACAACCATATGGACCATACTCAAGAGTTCTTAAACTGGGAGGAAAGGAGATGGCTCGGTTGGTTAAGAGCCTTCCATGTAAACACAAGTACCTGAGTTTGGATTCCCAGAACCTGTATAAAAAAGCCAAGCCTGGGGAGGGGTGTGATAGATCACACCTGTAATCCCAGAGGCTAGCCGACCTCCGTGAGTTCTAGACCAGTCAGGGCTTGGCAGCACACATCTGTAATCGTACTGTCACAAGAGAAGAGATAGGCAGACCCCAGAGCTCACTGACCAGTTGGTCTAGCCAGTTAATTGAGTGCCAAATTCAGCAAGAGCCTCTGTCTCAAAAGATAAGGTGAGAACAACAGTAGAAGACATCTGTTACCTACCTCCACATGTGCGCACACACACACACACACACACACAAACATGCACACTTTTTTTTTTTTTTAAAGGAGGGTCAATAAGAAGGCTCAGCAAGTCAAGGCACTTGCTGTGCAAGCCTGACACAACCTGAGTTTATCCCAGGAAGCCATGTAAAAGGTAGAAGGGCAGAACAGACACCACAGAGTTGTTCTCTGACCCTGGCACATATGCCCGTGTATGCACATCATTCACACACACACACACCTTGCACACACATACAATAATAAATAAATAAAATTGAAAAAAAAAGAGTGCATTCTTAAATTCTGTGTCTTCAAGAACCAGTAATAAGATGTTAGCTAGGTCTGGTGATGGTTATAGTCCTAGCTATCAGGAGACTGAGGCAGGAAGATAGTGAGTGTGAAGCCAGCCTGGCCTACAGAGTGAGTTCAAGGCTAGCCTAGTGGGACCCTGCCTGAAAATAAAAAGTAAATCAAGGGCTCGTGGTGTATCTCAGAGGTAGAACGTTGGAAATTTGGAAGTTTGTCCAGGATGTTTAAGTATAATTTCTCATCGCGCACACACACACACACACACACACACTCTCTCTCTCTCTCTCTCTCTCTCTCTCTCTCTCTCTCTCTCTCTCTCTCTCTCATCCTGCCTTTGCAGACTGCGTTCTGCCTAAAACACTTTGTCCAGGAAGACTCTGGTCATCCCGGGTACCCATCCCGGAATTTCTGCACACCTGACCTGAGGTTGAGGGCTGGCCCCTCTACACAGGTTAGCACCTTGCCTCCCCATTAGAGGGAAGCCCTTTGGGAGTAGAACTTGCTCCATGCTTCAGATTCTCTACATATCTAGTGATGAACTATACACATTGAAGGTACTGGCTGACACCTGGGGCTTTATGAACATCAGTTGTCTGTTTCTCACACCTCTCTGTTGCCTGTCAATGGCACCCCACAGTGGGAAACCACAGTAAGATGTAGGGGAGATGAACTCCACTTCCTGCCACTGTGTTTCCTCTCCAAAGCCATAGTCACGAGCACAGCGCTGGCAAGTGGCCCAAACAGAGTCAGACTTCTAAGAACAAAATGTTTTCATTCCTTCTTCATTCATTCATTTATTAACTTAATACGAGAAGATTCGTAGTCTGTAAGGTTAAGATATCTTTATTTGGATAAACACCAGCCAAACGCAAGCCAGAGCGTGCCAGGGGCAGCAAGGCAGGGAGGCCAGAGAGAAGGGGCTCCCATGTGCCTTGCTGCCCCTTAAAACCCTATCATGCGTCATGCTGACCTCACACACCTGTAGCCAGCTTCTAGCAGGCGTGGCTTACACTGTCCCCTACATTAACTTATTAATTAGTCTATGTATTTCCAGTCAGGGTCTCACTTGGTTGCCCAGGCTGGCCTCTAATACGCTATTTCTACCTCAGGCTGGTCTTGAACTTATGTTCCTTCTCCCTCAGCCTCCCAAGGTGTGGGCCACAATTTTATGATGCATCCCAGGGTGGCCTTCAGTTACTTTCTGGCTATTTTAGGTTGATCTTTCTTTCTAGACAGATGTATCTCAGGCTGCCTCAAATTTATCATACAGCCAAGTATGACCTTGAAACTCTAGTCCCCCTGCTTCTGCCTTCCTAGGGCTAGGACCAAAGCTGTGCACCACTACACCCAGGCTGTGCAGTGCTGGGGATCGCACCTAGGGCTTCGTTGAGGTATCAATGGAACCCACAAGAAAGTACAGAGTAAATGGACGCTATAAAGTTGTCCTCCACATGAATATCTGCATTTACACACACACACACACACACACACACACACACACACACACACACACACTCATGTTTTTTAAAATTTTAGATGTAGTGTGTGTGTGTGTGTGTGTGTGTGTGTTTGAATATTTCTGTGCAGGACACATGTGCCTGGTGCCTGTGGAGATCCAAGAGGGTATTGGATTCCCTGCAACTGGTGTTACGGATAGTCGTGAGCCACCATGTGAGTCCTCTAAGAACAGCCAGTGCTCTTAACTGCTGAGCCATCTCTCCAGCCCCTGATAACAATGTCTAAAACAATGTTTTTAAAGGGCCCAAGGGTCAGCACTGAGGCAGGCATTTGAGGAGCACCACAGAAGAGTATGAAGCCGATGGGCTATATGAGCTGATAACACAGGGAGCTTGAGGAATAAGAAAAAGCTGGCAAACTCCTCAGTCCTTTGCTGGATCCAGCTTTGCCAGAAGGTATCCAACCTCTAGTCTCTTCTAGAAAATGAACTTTGTTGTTGAAACCTATTTGCACTGTATTTTCTGGACATGTGACTCCTGACCACCACATCATCTCTTCTATCCATGCTCCGGGCCTCATTCTAGCCCTACCTTTTACCCAAAGCCACTGGAGTCACTCTTTTGGCCTTACCTTCCAACACAGCGAGGGCCAGGGTTGGTAGGTGTACTGGACTAGGGGTCCTTCTGGGTTATCGCTGAGAGCGGTGCCCACACAGTCCTGGTAAAAGAGATTACGGTAGGAATCGACCCCATACCATGTACTTTCCTCCACGTTGGTGCCATGGCTACATACACACGAGCGACTGCAGCTCATCATGGATCCCTGTGGGCACAAGGTACAGTGACAGAGAGAGATCAGCAGAGTTGCCATGGTAACCCTCTCACCATTCACCACTTCACCCTTACAGTCCACCCAGCCTTGCAGCATCCTCTTTCTTTCCCTGCGTCGTGGGTGAGCCAGCCTTATGCTGTCTGCCCATCTGCCTGTTTTCTCAAAAGACCATCCAGCAGCTGGAATGTGGACTGCGACCCAAACCTGCACTTGGTTGATTTAATTTTAGACATGTGTACTGACTGACCTCTCCCGCCTTCCTTGTCCATAAAACAGGACTAGTAACAACTGTTTCATCCAAGGGGCTGCTGTGGTTATTTTGGTGTTTTCTTCTTTAAATGTATTTGTTATGCGTGTGTGTGTGTGTGTGTGTGTGTGTGTGTGTGTGTGTGTGCGAAGTACATGTTCGTGCTTGTGAACATATGTGGAGGTCAGAGGAAGACTTGCAGGAGTCAGTTTCCCTTTTACCATGTAAGTCCTGGGCTTGACTCTGGTCATCAGTTTGAGGAGTATACTTGTTCTGAAGGGTAAGGTGGATTTAGGACCCTTTTCACCTTCAATCAGTGTGACTCCAGAATCCCTTCGTGTGTATAAATACACACACACACACACACACACACACACACACAGTGGTGCTTTGGGAGACCCCAAAGAGGCACACATGTGCCAGAGGAGTGCTGACTGGATCACACGCTCCACTCTCCCCACAATTCCAGGGAAGGGAGAAAATAAGAGGAGTAAAAAAACAAACGAAAACAAGAATGATTAATGGTAGAAGCCAAGGCATAGCAGAGACCTAAAAATGAGGGCTAGACAACTGGACTGCAGAGACTTCAGGAGAAAGTGGAGGCAGAGGCTTGACCAGAGCTGAGACCTCCGGGACCGGGGCTGGGGACGCTGGTGATGAAAATGAATGGGGCTGGAGACTCCATAACAGGAGGGTAAAGTAGAGGCCCGGAAGGGGCAGTGAGGGACACAAGGACAAAGGGCCAGAGCGAGTCCCTCCCTGTAATTCATCCTCGCCAGGCCTCCAAAGGCAAAGGATCGGTTCATCCTGCTGATACAAGAGAAGGAAGGTGACCTTGACTGAGCTTCCCCTCCTCCTCCTATCTTAGGGTGGGGGTGGGGGGGGGAGAGGACAGGGAGCGACAGGATGCTGAAGAGCCCGGGGGTTGCCATGGAAACATCCAGGAGTGTGTTCCTAACCTGCAAAGGGAGAGACTTGATGAGAAGCGAGTGGGAAGAGGAAGAGGCTGCGTGGGTCGGGGCAAGGAGCTCTGCAGCGGCGGAGACCAGACTCTCGAAGGAGACGAGCCTGTAGGCGGGAGGCCGCCCTGAATCTGTCCTTAGGCACGCCCACCCCAGCGCAGCTGGAAAGGAAGGCCTCCTTGGGAGGTAGCTAGGGCAATCAGGAACACCCGCTTCACTCCCTAACCTGACCACCCTTTGGGGCGCAATAAACTGCGTACTTTCCCAGGAGGGAAACTGAGGCACAGCGGAATGGGAATGGGTTGTTAGAGAGGTGCGGGTGAACCCGTCCTTGGAGCCTCTGTCTCTCTATGAACCCTAGGGTGTCAAGGCCCTCAGAGCCACGGGGCTCTCTATCCCCTCCAGTTCCCCAAGCAGACCCACCTCTGGCCGGACGCAATCATATTGGGGGATGCTAGCGGAGTGGGGGCGGGTGCTCCTAAGAGCAGGGGAGCCAGCGGGGCAGGGGTCGAGCCGCAGGGAGCAGGGACTGAGCTCACCTCTGGTCTGTGTTTCCGGAGCCCGCAGAAGCTGTCGGAGCTGGAGCAGAGCAAAGCCAGTTTGTTTCGCGCAGGCGCTGTAATTCCGGGCGGGGGTGGAGTGGGATGGGAGGAGGTGATACTGAGGGAAGGGGAGGTGGGGGTCTCTCCGACCCCAGAGGCTGGTTCGGCAGACTGTAGTCCTACTCAGATCCCCAACCCTTGCCCTGGCCTGAGTTCCCTTCTCTCTCTTCTGAGAGGCTCTTGGGCATCTTTGGGGTGCTCCAACTCCTCAGCCACACTCACGTCACTCCTCAGGCCTGACTCTTCTCACAGGAGACCATCTTCCCAGGAGCCTCTCTGTCTCCTCACTGTCTCTTCAGAGCCTCCTCTGGAGGGTCTCCATCCCTCCAGATGCCCATAACCCATACAGAAAACCAACATCTGGGCCCGAACACGGTGGATAGAGTGCTTACACCAAGTATACACAAACCGTGGGTTCTTTCTACCCCAGTACCTTTTAAACCTGGCATAGTAGCTCACACTTATGTTCCAGCGCTCCATGGGTGGAGGCAGGAGGATCAAAAGTTCAAGAGCATCCTTAGTCACAGACCCAGTGCAGGCCAACATGGGCTATCTTAAAAAAAAAAAAAAAAAAAAAAAAAAAAAAGCAACAAAAAACCCTACATCTTAAGCCAGCCTGGAGGTGCATATCAACAACGAAGGCTGAGGCAGGAATCTCCAATCTGGGCTACATAGCAAAACCTTGTCTCAAAACAAGAAAACCTATGGTTCTCAGGATCCTCTCAGGGCCTCCAATTTCTGCAAGGCCTTGGCCTCAGCAGTCACCATCACTAAGCCTGCCTCTCACTGACACTTCCTGGGAAGTCCTTCCTGCTGCCACCAGATTCCCCTAATCTCACTCTCTCTCCCTTTCAGTGCCCGCCATCCTTATTCTTTCTCCATGTCCTTCTTCTGAGTCTCCACCCCAGACTAAGGATTGGTTGCACTTACCTTGGGATGGGGGGCGGTGGGTGTTCCATGGCACAGTCTCCCTTATGGTCCTCTCTGTTTAGCTCCAATCCTGTGGTGGGCAGTGCTTGTCAGTGGCATCCTCTTAGGGAGTCATCCTTTGCTAGGTCATTGGCTTCATGGTTTGTCGTGTGCTTGCACATTCACTGTGTGGTCCTGAGAGAATCACGGTGCTTCTCTGAGCCTCACCAGAGACCACTGCCCACGTCCGCCTTCACATCTTGAGTATCTGTGGTGGTTTGAATAAGAATGGCCCCCATAGGCTCATATATTTGAATGCCTGGTCATGAGGGAATAGTAGCACTATCTGACAAGGATTGGGAGCTGTGGTCTTGTTGGAGTAGGTGTAGCCTTGATGGAGGAAGGTGGACTTAGAGGTTTCAAAAGCCCATGCCAGACCGATCCCTCTGTCTGTCTGTCTGCCTGCCTGCCTGCCTGGGGATCAGGATATAGAGTTCTCGGTTACTGTTCCAGCACCATGTGTTCATGATACTGTCCTTCATGCTGATAATGGACTAACCTCTGAAACCGTAAGCAAGCCTTGAACTAAATGCATTCTCTTTATGAGTTGCCATGGTCATGAGGTCTCTTCACAACCACAGAATAATGACTAGGACAGCATCCTGTTGCTCCTTGTGCTGGAGGCTAGGGACATAGAATTAAGCGTGCTAAGCATGCTATACATGATTGTACGGTATGTTTCTTTGTCCGCATCCCCATGTTCCCCATATGTGCTCTACTATGTCAGTATGTACTGAACACAGATTGACAGCCACAGGCAAATGATGCTCATTATGTGTGAAGAACTTTGTATGCACTACAGTACTTACATAACTCGTGTGTGTGTGTGTGTGTGTGTGTGTGTGTGTGTGTGTGTGTGTGTGTGTATGGGGAGCACTCTCATTGGGAGTAGGAGGAAGGGAATTGGAGGATGGCTGTTATCATAGTGGGATGGATGAATTTCTGGAGATGATGGTGAGATAGATTGCCAAATGCCCTGGGAAGTGGGGCCAACCTTGAGCCAGGAAATGTATGATGGTTTATACTAAATGTCGACTTGACAAGCTCTTATGTCACTTTGTATCTGGACAGAACTCATGTCCATGGGGGATTATGTAGATTAAGTTAACTGAGATCAGATAACTCACATTAAGTATGGACAGCACCATTCCATGACCAGGAGACCTGGACCGTAAAAAGGAGAATGCTAGTTCAACACCGCCATTTATTGCTCTCTGCTTCTCAGTTGCTGGCAGCACCTCAGGCTCCTGCCACCATGATTTACCTGTGATGGTGGCCTGTGCTCCTGTTTTTTTTGTTTTTGTTTTTGGAGACAGGGTTTCTCTGTGTAGTTTTGGAGCCTATCCTGGCACTCACTCTGGAGACCAGGCTGGCCTCGAACTCACAGATGGGAAACTGTGAGCTGAAATCAGGGGAGGAGACCCAGCCTTGACTCTTGATTTGGCCACTTGCGGCCCATGCAGTGTCACCACTCTGAACATTATTCTTTGTCCATCAAATGGTGGTATTTGCCTCCTAGAGAGTTTGAAAGAATGAAATGAGACATGCTTACAGCAAGGTGTTCAGTGCTCTTGGGGTGGAGTAATGACATAGTCAATTTGTTGTTACCATTATTGTCCCTTGTTGTTTGCTTGTTTTTAGAGATGGGGTCTCACTCTATAGCCCTGGAACTCCCTTTGTAGACCAGGCTAGTCTCCAGCTCACAGAGATCTGCTTGCCTCTGCCTCCCAAAAGTTGGGACTAAAGGCATACACCACTGTTCTAAACATTACTTTAACTGTAAAGATGTGTTACTGTAGTTTTTTTTTTTAAACTCTTTGGCTCTTTACTCTTTTGGGGGACCCACCACCCAGCTCCCAATAAATACACATGGAGACTTATTATTACTTATGAATTTCTGGTGTTAGCTTGGCTTATTTCTTGGCAGCTTTTTTTTTTTAAGATTTATTTATTACATATTCGATGTTCTGCCTGTATACATGCCTGCACACCAGAAGAGGGCACCAGATCTCATTACAGATGGTTGGGAGCCACCATGTGATTGCTGGGAATTGAACTCAGGACCTCTGGAAGAGCAGACAGTGCTCTTAACCTCTTGAGCCATTTCTCCAGCCCTTGGCAGCTTTTCTTAAATTATCTTTTCTACCTTTTGCCTCTGGGCTTTTATCTTTCTCTATTCTATATACCTTTCTTTACTTCTTACTCCACAGCTTGCCGTGTAGCTGGGTGAAGGCCTGGCCCCAACATCCTCCTCTCCCTCTCTTTTTCTTGTTCCCCAATTTTCTCTTCCCAGACTTCTCCTATTTATTTTCTCTGCCTGCTAGCCCCACCTATCTTTTCTCCTGCCTAGATATTGGCCTTTCAGCTCTTTATTAGACCAATCAGGTGTTTTAGACAAAGTAACACAGCTTCACAGAGTTAAACAAATGTAGCATAAAAGAATGAAACCTATCTTTATGTCATTAAAACAAATCTGGGCTGGAGAGATGTCTCAGAGGTTAAGAGCACTGACTGCTCTTCCAGAGGTCCTGAGTTCAATTCCCAGCAACTACATGGTGGCTCCCAACCATCTGTAAAGAGATCTGGTGTCCTCTTCTGGAGTGCAGATATACATGGAAGCAGAATGTTGTATACATAATAAATAAATAAATAAAATCTTAAAAAAACACAAATCTTCCACAGCATAAGCAAATGTAACACATCTTCAACTAATATTCCACAACCATCATATTTGTTTATGTTGTAGACTATTATTTTAACTATGTAAAGGTATGTTGAATTTTTTACATTGCATTCATTTAGCTAGGCATTTGTTACATTTGTTTATGTTGCATTTGTTTGATGGAAAGACGTGCTGCTGTTTCACCTTGCCTGCCTAAGCACCTGATTGGTCTCATAAAAAGCTAAATGGTCAACAGCTAGGCAGTAGAGGGATAGGCAGGCTGGTGGGCAGAGAGAATAAGAAAGAGTAGGACTCTGGGCTTAAGAGGAGAGAAAGAGAAAGAGAGGGACATGCCTGGGGCCAGCCAGGCAGCTGCCAGCCAACCAGACACGGAGTAGGACATACAGAAAGAGAGAGAGAGAGAGAGAGAGAGAGAGAGAGAGAGAGAGAGAGAGAGAGAGAACGAACCTAGGCAAAATGTAGATGAGGAGAAATAGGTTAAAATAAGTGGGACAAGTGTAAGATAAGGCTGAGCATTTATAAATAATAATAAGTCTTAGTGTCATGATTTGGAAGCTGGTTGATGGCCCAAAAGAAAGCCTGCTCCATGCCAACTCA